AAGACCGTGATGATAATGCTCAAACAATAAACTTCCAACCTTTAACTATGGACAAGCGAGGAATATTATAACTATCTGAAGCTACCTGATTTTCCTATACTGTTACTGTAAGCTCAACATTTGTCTTTAAGAAGGGATTTGTTACTTAGCCCGAATGTTGGCAATTTCTATAAAGGTTTTCCTTTTCTTTTTAAGGTAAAAAACCTGCCGTACGCTTGCGACTAAAGAAGAATAAAAGTCATATTGTATAATAAAATAATGATGTAACTGTATACAGCGCAAAACGGTTCACCACGCAAATAATTGGGTCAAGTGAGTAAAAATGGTATTTAACTGGTCATCCACAAAAGTTCGTACGTTTGAAAATAAAGGACTTCCGAAGCTCATCCACTGCGGCACGTTGCTGTTATTGCTTGGCCATCTTCGTCTAAGGCTAAGAGCGTTTCAGCAGCAGAGTAACCGAGACACACCACGTCTGATCGTTAGAAATGCTACTTCGGATAGATATCAGGCAAAGTTTACTACGACGAACGTCCATATTTTCCTTCGCAAGCAGGTTTGCCTCAAAGCGACGTTGCCTCGTTTTGTTCTTCCTTCAACGAGTCTGTAGAGAGCGCAGCGTTTCCAAGTGAAAAATGCTCTGCATATATTTCTATTCGTTTTCTGGGCCCTGTTATCAAATCCAGGCCAGGAACCGGTCTCTGAGTTCATCTGATGATCGCCGGCGATGTTCAGCACCTCCTCGTTCGTGAACAGTCGACGCCATCGCAGTGGAACATGCCAGTAGCGTTTTTTCGATTCGTTAGTTCTCGATTCTTGGCATGCCGTTACTTCGACAGTTTGTCATCAGTAAAAGCTGGCGTGCACCCATCAACTTGGTACGAAGAACAGGGACAAAAAATAATACAAAATAATTAGGCTCTGATCATATTTAGATTTCGAATGTAAATACAATATCGCATACCGTACTGTTCTACATTATGACCAAATGGTAAATTGTTTTGGTTGTCAGATGTGTGTCAATCAGGTAACAGAAAATATTTCGTTCGTGTGTTGGTTATCCTACTGAAAAACAGCATAAAACACGGTTTAACAGTGCTTAACGTAAAAACTAATGGTCAGCTCAGTGACTGACCAATACCAACGCTTCGATCCTTGTCTCACGGGCCTTCTTCAAGGCAGGGGAATTTGCTCGGTCGTTCGCAGCAGTCGATAGCCTCGGAGCCAGGAGGCAAGCTTCCGGTTCGTACAGCTGGTTAAATAGTTTTTGGGCGACAGGAGCAGCTAGGTTCATCCAATCAGGTGACAATGACATTGTCTGCTTGTTGGCACAAGCACCTCCAAGCAATCGTTCGTGTCCAGCCCTGATGACGCTTGTAGTGAAAAGCGTTGCACTGAAGTTTTTCTCCCATTTTTTATTTGCCGTGTTTAACCATGAATCGACAGATACCACGAAAACACTACATACTTCACACACATTGTTGTTGGAAACTGATTGGACGAACTTCTTGACGCTTCAGGACAGCGGATGCCACTAAACTACGTGAGCATTACGAATACCTCTGCTTTCAGAAAGGTGGCTGTCGCGTCCGTTCTTATAGTGCGATCCTTCTGTATGAAATACATCTTACCATAATTCTATGACGCGATTCCAGTAATCCGGTTTACTTGAAGATCAGTGTCGCAGTCGTTAGCTAACACAGTTCCGAGGGGTACTTGAAATAGTCCAGCTCGTCCAACATAAAAATAGAATGCGTTTCCACCTTGAAGAAAGCCCAGGGCACTCCGGCTGAAAAGATGGAATTGGTCATTTATCCTACTGAATGTGTTTTGTGCTGTTTACACTATGACAACCGTCAACGCACAAACCAAACATTCCATCTTCGATATATTTCGATAAAAGCAAGAACTATGCATGCCTCGCCTCCATTCTGCTGTACGAGTTACAGATGACCGGGACACTGTACAAAACTGTCATGCGAAGCGTCTGCGCGCATTTTACACCGAAAAAGCACCTGTGAAATGCCACTAAAACAACTGAATGCATTTTCACGATGAAAAATACCAAGGCAATCGCTTTACGGTTGGCTTCATGGAAATTGCAGCAGGCTGATAACAGTTCCATTGGCACATCAAGATGAGTCAAATGTCTCTGAATGCTTTTACCACTCGACCTCACTTGGCACTAGTAAGTACAGTGCTTGATTTCAAAGATTCAGATAACCTTGTATTACGTATAAAAAAACTGCGCAACTTGCCGGCTCCATGGCATACAGCTATGGCACTTGTCCTTTCATTTGCATCTGATGTTTCAACTGCAGTAATTTTTCCAGAGGAGACTTCTACCTGTCGAAGCGATCAGTGAAGCTTGTACATCTGACAGATCTGATCAACTATGTTGCTGCCTGAGCAGCAATATGGTTGATCAGGTCTGTCATATGTACACCAATCATTCTGAAAAACAACTACAGTAGTCTTTCCCGACCTCCTCATACGCAACTTCCTTTCCCTAAGGCAATCACTGAAGCTTGTGTTCAAAATGAATGATATACGTATGGCAGACGCAATCAGCCGCACTGCCGACCAGGCAATGTGTACGATAGCAGGCCTACGGTTACTAATATCCGCATCAACGACGAGTCCATTCTGCGGTTAAAGCTCACACAGTATTTGCCAAGGGTTCACTCACCCACAGCCTCATACACTGTCATTTCGCCTCGCACAACGCTCCATCGGCGTTCCTCGTCCCTGTGACATTTCGCTTTCTCACAGATCCTCAAGGTGTACAGAGGCAAACTGCTGATCTCGTTTGGTGCGCATTAAGGCTTCTGCTTGATTTCGCTCGATTCGTTGTTCACCTTTGTCATATCCCATTCGATGCCGATCAGTTAACGGTTGGCAGTTTCTTAGCTGAGCTGGCTATAATCTTGCCGGTGACTTGTAAATACCAGCTAAAATCCATCATCTCTATTGAGTTATGGTACTTCTGTGTTGATCCATGTATTTGTTAAAAAAAATAAGCACCCTGACGATCCTGTTTAAGCAGTAATCAAAGAACTAAATCCGAACGACGGTACAGACAGACTTCGACTTACGGAAATTACACCGCAAGAATCATTGACAAGATTTAGAGTTATAAATTTCTAATTAACTCGCCTATGTAACTTGCCTCACACTGTGCAACCGTGCGATCCTCCGCAAGACAGTCAACACCGTGCATGGGTGCGACTTCCTCAGTCTCGGTTTGTTTCAACACAGACGCAGCGTGTATTTGTATTAATATACTAGAAATTATCAACATGTAGTACAGTGCAGTCATGACTGGAAAAAACAACAGAAGAAAAAAGTGAAGCCGTGTGTAAACGCAAAAGAATTGATTTATAGACGAAAATCATTAGGTAATATGAAGGTGGACAAAGCATAACGGTCACTGGACGTGATCAACTGGTAAGCAATGAGTACGATTGTGAAAGTTGCTGCCCGTACAAAGGAACATGTGGAAGGAATCGCTTCTTTAAAATCAATAATAATAAAAAGATTTCAGACGCTATTCAGGCCTGAAAATGTTTGAAAAACTATGTGGATGAAAGACCAAATCCAAAGCACGTTTTGCTAAGCGTAATGATGATTCAAGCGAAAGCAAAAATTCTTATCAAAGACATGAAACCGAAATACTTGACGGTTTTCAACTAACGGAAGTGTCCTTTACAGTCTAAGAATGCACTACCGTTTATACGTAAGCGATAGCGAAAGCGTGATTAACGGCAGAGCCGGAGGGGGGTTGGATGGATCACAAAAAATTCGTGCTGCATAAAGGTTGGCGGAACGTAACTCTTATGTAAGTCGGAATTTTGTGAAATCACCTCAAAAATGACCTCACACAATGCGCAGACACCTCACACAAGCTAGGCTTTGCAGCACATCGATTCGGGTGGAAATTCCATCCACGAAACATTAAGCGAACGACGAACCAGTAGTAGGCTCATTACAATGACGCTGCGGAGCTGTGGTGATTACCGGAGGGAGAGGAGTCGTTCGTTCGTCCGTCCGTCCGTCCTCCTGCCCGAGCAGAGTATCGTATGTCGTGGTGGAGTCGGCATGATCTGTCGCGCCGCCGACGGCGTCATTATCTTAATGCTTGCGATTCCTCACGGGAAATGGAAATGTCAGTGAGGTTCGTCGTCATCGTCGTCGTCGTTGTCGACGGCCCCGGTTCCGTCGACCCGGCCGACTGTGACTCATGCACACGTCTGCCGGCGGACTTGCCACTAACGTCGCACGTTGCCACGGTCCGGCCAACGACCGGAAACAAGGCGACGAATGGAGGTCAAGGTGTCGCCCTCACAAAACGGTTCCATAAACGCGGTCGCGGATCAGGGACCCCGGCAACAGGCGCCGCCACAATAGTCCGTTTGATGATTTGTAAACTTTTCCGGCATACGATGCTGACAATGTGGCATAAAAGCTTACAATGCACCAAACCTCGCCCGCCATCGTTGCATCTGATGCTAATGAAAATGACAAAACAATGAGCAACGACAAAAATAAGTAAATGGTCGTATCATCGTGATCAGCCATTTTCGATCCGAAGCTGGATTCGACCACTAAATTCTGTTTTTTAGGCGTGGCGATTTTTATCCACGTGGCGGCAAAAAATTTTCTACCTCGTTTTTTTGCTGTCGATCCGGATAAGGAGGCCATCAGGTGTTTTCCGTCTAAAAACGCAACACCTTCCATCAGTGTGTACTCTCAGTGGCTAACGAATCATGGACGCTAAGTCGCACATGAACATCACGATATTCATCAACTGCAGACTACGCAACACAGCACTGAACGCTGTGTACAGACAGAAACCTGTTATGCCTTTGCAAGAGCGAAGAAATCGAAAGGAAACGGACTGGGTACGTTGCCGAAAGAACGAGGCATCACTGAATCAAAGAAATATCAGATTGAGTTTCAAGAACGAGAAGCAGTTAGGAACATTTTCGATCCTACATCCTAAATGCTCCATGCCATTTTTACTGTTACACTGATTTTGCAGAATTGGTTCCAGGTGGAACAAGTCACATTACCAGCTCTCCCAGAGGGCACAACTGAGTACCATTTCAGGGCTTACTCCTACAGGAGAAATGTTTTTCCGCCGCACTTGCAAAATCCGATCAGCGGTGCTTGCTTTCTCGATTTCCTGCCCGCTCGGGTGTGCAGACTGATGGCGTCAGTGAAGAAAGGAGATTCAAGTATCCCGGCATCGTGTTTACAGGACGAGTGAGGGATGATGAGAAGCAGCGATCGACCGATGGATACAAACCGCTAGAGGGTTCTTCCAAACCGCCGTTACAAAAGCGGTATTTTTGTTGAAGATGAAACTGTCTCTACTCAAGAAATCTTCGTTTCAATGTGCTCACTTAGTGACCACGAGTGACCATGACCGAAAAATACGACTGCGCGAACACAGTCGGCCGATTATGGGCTTCTAAAAGCAGGAAGTTATTAGCTCATGTTACTCGAGAAAATTCGCAGCTCTGTTAGTCCGTAAAACCAAGGAGCCAAGCTGCTACTTCGTCTGATTTTCAGGTCAAATTCTGGTGGTCTGAAAAGAGAGGAAGAAAACCCTGAAGCTACTCCTTGCTGGAGCTAACAAACAGAAGCCCTAGACGAAGGTTCGATGCAAGTGAGCTTTGTTTCGATGCAAGTGAGCTTTGTTTTAGATTTCGGGTGTCTCATGCCGATGCTAAGGCACTGGGCAAGATCGTCGGCGCTGATGACACTAGATGTATCACTACCACAGATTCGTTCGGCAAACAATACCAACATTTCCGGCCATGTGTCATAGATCTTCTACAGAACTGAAGCACTTGGCCGCACGGTTTACCTTGGTCGTTCAAACTATCTCGTCAATGGTAAGAAAAACTACATAAATGGGAAGGAACTTTCCGCCTGTAACAGGATAAGTTCTAGCACCTTGCATGCTTATAAGCAAAATAACCTTAGAACCGTGAGTGACAAGATAAGGGGCCAGATTTCATCTAGGGTTTCTGACGCTCTCCAGTCAAATAGGCAAACGTTACAGATTCGTTCATTTATGTATACAAAACGAAGGCCAACAGTCCGTTGCGGAGTCAGTCATAACGGAGTCAAACATGACTGATGCATGAAATATGCTGACAACCACACCGAAAACGCCACATTCAAGCCGCCTAAAGTTACAACGAGCGACCTGAAGCAATGAACCCCAAGCTTTGACTAATAACTAACTTTAAGAGCCCTTCCCGCCTGTATTCTGACAGGTGACTAACGACAAGTTAGCAAAAGCACTATATCTCAATGAACACTGATTCACCTTAAAGAACGAGACAGTCCTAATTTATGACACGAAAAAAATACTTGTGAGTTTCAAATCCTTTTAAATGACAGACCGAACAGGCCTGATTGCACTACGTCGGTACTCGAAAGGAGGGCTACACATTATACTGATCATCAACACTGGACAGTCAACATATCATGTGAGTCAAGACGAGATGCAGCCACTGGAAAGCGTGGCCGTAACTCTCGCCCATTCAGGTATGATCACACCGGAACATCATGTTGCCCGTTGTTCGCAAGTCAGTGATCTGCTGTCCGTCTCTCGGCTGGTTGCACTGAAGCAAAATGGGGTTAATCTCTTGCTCAAGAAAGTTCATGGTTAAGACACAGTCTGTCCTTTCTATGCATTCGAACCCTTCTGCGTCCCAACAGTTCAAGTACTTAGGCGGCCATACTTCCGGCGATTGAAGTAGTCCACCTCTTCAGATGAATCATAAAACTTTTCGCTTAGATAAACCCAATGATATTCCCTAGTCTAATGAAGCAAGTCATCCGACTGGTGCGCTGAGTTGTGATGCAAACTGCTAAGAATAACGTAATTTCCGAAAAGAAACCGCCTGAACACTGCAATGTCCAAATCGTGGCCAGTGTGCGCTGGCCGACGGCATCCAACCTCTGCACACGAGTTCCCCAGTTGTACTGTTGCCTCATGGGGCCTGTAGTCGGTTTTACGCCTTACCACATTACAGTACTGCACTGTCGATCCATCATACCATTGTTCGCAATGATTTTAATCATGTCACAGGGGCAGTTTCTTGCCAGAACAAACGCATTAGTGATTTCTCCTTTGTTCTCTCATTATCATCTTTTTTCATATGGCATCAAATCATGGACAAACTGTAAACATACATCTGGTGGATATTTATGGCATAATGCAACTACGCTTCGAAAAGTTGCACTAATGTTGATCGCTACAGTTGCTGCACAAGAAAATAAATCTCAGTATCTGACATAACTTGGGATAGGCGGCTGCTGCCACCTGGGAGAGCAACAAAAAAATAGTCTTAGTACGTAGTGTTACTTTGTTCCCTCAAAACCCAAATCCCACTTACGCTACAGTCGAGAGGACTGGCAAAAGCAGGAGATTACTTTGTGGAACAGCCACGGTACAAATACTTTGCTCAGCATGGCAGGACGGTCGCAAACCACCGCCTGACCGGTAAACTAGATTATGAAGCAGGACAACCAACTTCACCGAACGGATTCCATTCATAATAAAGGCGTACGGTTCCATGAATCAAGCAGTAGCATTCGGAACCAATCAGACGGATTTACTTCAGTGAACATTAAGGTACATGATACGTTGCCAAAACTTGGACATAACAAAGAAAGAAACATAAAACAAAAGCTAAGTACTGAAAAAGTGGATCCTTAACTAACTGACAACAGTCAGTTCCACAATGACACTTCTTCCTCGTTGGGGTCAATCAGACATCGTACAGCGAACGCAACCACTGACTTTCGGTCTCCATCAGTCTGGCACGTGCAATGAACGTACACATTTCTAGTGCTTGGCCCCTTCGAAAGGCACCGCCGCAAACAATGGTACAGAGGGCGAGTCGGATCGGCTATCGCAGAACTTTCTTTCGAGCAACCGTACTCTTTATCAAGCATGTGGTGTGGATGCACCCAAACTGGTTAACACCGCAGTTACAGAGTCGACCAAGTAATTTCAAAGGCTCAGGGATGCGAACTAGCTATTTTATCCGCAGACTGCAAAAGTAGATCGGCTCAGAATGGAGGAACAGAGGTAACATGCAGGATTTAGTGAAGCCCTTCAAAACGTGTGAACCTAAGCACAACCTCCACAATCTGCATCGCACTGAGGTACTGCCTACGGTTCACTGACGGCTTAAATCCAGATTATCATAGACAGACGGCAGCTCAGTCGGTAGAACGTCACTGGTCGTTATCAGATTCGACAGATTTCAATTCTGATCTACAGTAACTCGCCTTTCCTCCTTCTGAAGTACGATGATCAACGAGTAAGCTACTAGTATTTGGTGAGATCAGCTTGAGCTTGAACCGTCAGTAAAAACAGAATGTACCTGGTTTGCGATGTCTGCGATACCGGCCGCTGCATTGTACAGGAAACGATTCCGCTCTGAAGATTATGGAATCTGCCTCCACTTAATTCATTCATTGTGCATGCTCGTCTCCTGGTCGACGTCTGCCTTGTTTCAATTCCTACACAAGACGAATTACTCTAGAGTAGGATTTGAACCTGTGACCTTTCAGGTAAAACCGACCATCTTTCGGACTGTTAGTTTAATATTCGACGCAAGCGTATCTCTACGTATGGCAGTATCTATGATTGCCATATAGCCGAAGAACCTCGGTTTTTAGTACGGTACTGCAGTACGATGGTATCACAAACAGATCGGATCCTACAACATCAGATACACTGACGGGGTTGCTCAGTCCACTGACTGTCGGACTCAGAAGAGAGAGGTCTTGGGTACGAGTCCCAGGTCAGATCACTCGCCTTATTTCGTTCTGATGTCGATAAATGAGTACCACTCTGTCGGAAGAAAACAGAAGACCTCACACTATGCTTGTCACAGTGTCGCCGCTGTCGACTCTGCCTGTAAACCAATGCACTCATAACGATTCTTTTACTCTTAGCACGGAAATGGAGATCAGCGCCTCACTATCAACTTCATGAAAAGAAGTGTTGGAAACGGCCCTCACGTGTAAGTGCAAGGAAGACCAAAATTAAACGGCTACAAACTTCTCTACCTATTTTTAACCAAGGGTATGAGATGAAGAAGTGTACCAGAGCCCATCCCTTCTCTAGTCGGTAAAACTCAATCAATATCAATATATGATCAAGATGTCCCCCACATCACGCGTCCCAGCACAGCTGTCCTGATCATTACAGTTACTCAATTTCCTGAAATGCATACGAAAAGAACCTTCGTGAGAACAAACAGGTCGCAGATAGAACCCACCAGTAAACAGCAAGGCAGACCTGCAAACAAACGGTCACAAACTCGTTTTGCATTCGGGTTCCAAACTCACCTGCTAGCGAGTGTTCAAAACGAGGACGTTGCCAAGAACCAGAAAACTTTACACCCTCGCGTCTGTCACCCCTTACGGCTGACAGTCATCACTTAATTTCAGTATTTACGCCTCATTGTCTGCTCGGTGACTCCTATAATTATGTCTG